ACAAGAGTAAGATATATCTTTTAATATAATAGATACTTATTAAATAAACTGAGAACATCAGCTCTTAGATTTGAAGATACTAGTTAATTAAGATAAAATAACTTATGACACTATATACACTTCTTTAATTAGAATATCTTCTCTCTGAACTGTCACTGACATTAATGCTAATACTAATACTGATATCTTAACTTCTTCTATATCTACACTGAATGAATTATGATATATAATAGTTCAAACTGATAAACTTCTTGAAATACTTATTAAAGTAGTATATCAAGAAGTACTCTGATTTCTCTCAGAACTATATATAAGAACTGACCTCTCAGAATACTTAATTAATGATAATAATACTCTACAATTCTATAAAGAACATTGAGTCTCTTACTCTGAATTCTTACACACTCAGATAATATAAGAGATGCATGATTTGTATATAACTAATTACTCAGATTATAAGTAACTATATTAAATAATCTCTTAAGAGTTCTACTGATCTGAGATATTAAACACTATCAGATATTTTATCTGAGACTGTAACTATTATTCTTTTATTATCTGGTAAAAGAACTGTAGAAAAGATCTACTGAAATCACTTAATATCTCTAATAGAATTTAATAAAATATAGTAATTAACTTTGTTATTAATCTCTCTAAGAGTAAGAGTTATAAAAATATTCTGATTATTATAAATTAATTAATTAAAAATATAATATTAAAATCTTATAATAAAATAAATACTGAATAAGTTACTAAAGTCTTTCTACAGAGTCTATTCTATTAGATGTATAAATTATGGCAATGAATTGACTGATTCAGCAGCAAAAAAGAGTTCAGAATTAAGCAGATCTATTCAAAAAACAGTGTTCTAGTCTTTTATAAAGAGAAAGATAAAAGAATCTTGTTTAAACAAGTGAAATAAAAGGTGGCAGAAACAAAAGAAGAGTATACATTATTCAAGATTTGAGACAAAATCTAAGTGGAAATCTTGTTCAATTAAATGTAAAAAGAAAATATTCTCATCTATAATTCAGCTGAAACTAGAACATGAGTATTTCAAATCTTATATACAAAGATTTAATGATAGATTTGATTCAACAGAATACTCATTCTGCAATGTAAATGAAAATTCTAAGTATATTATAATGCATTGTGCATTATATAATAGTCTCAGAGTCAAATTGAAGAAGAAGTATAATTTAACTTAATTAAATATAAGGTTCTTATTCTTAACTGAGACAGGAATTAAGTATCTAATAGACTTTCTATCAGAACTCAAGCAGCTATAAGAAAACAGCTGAATTCAGAAATATCTGAATATGAAGAGGTGAAAATTAATTAGATATAGTCTGTTAAACAGCTATTTACTATCTTTAATAATTTTAATTTGTATAAGCTCTCTTTACTTTTTCTTTTTTTATTCTTTTCTATCTATCTATTTAATATGTCATCTTTAAGACTGTGTTCTCTTTTCTTTTATCATGATATTATTAAATGATTTCAAAGTATCAGAAGATGTTAATAATACTGTAATTTATAAACAGTTTTTATATTCTGAGCTGGAATTTTCTGATTTTATATATCTGAAATTTATAAATGTATAATAGTTAACTTTATAGATATAGGAAAAACTCTGAGAACTAAAAGTTCTCAGATAAATGTCATAGTCTCTAACTACATACATCTATAATTGAAGAATAATAATAATAATAATAAGATGTATAAATTACTGAGATCTATAGTATTAGATTAAGATTATTAATTTATAAGTACTCTCTGAATAAGAATCTGTTAAGTTCTTAAGAATATATACTATTTATTAACTATCTATCACTCTAAAATTAAAAATGTATTAGAATAAATAATTCAGACTGTAAAGAATTATCTTTATAAGTTCTATAATTATTTATAGAATAATTAATATAATCTTCTTCTATATACAGAGATCACTATCAATGATTAAGATACTATTTTAATAGATATAAGCTTATTCTTTCTTATACACAGTTATTACATGAAGATGTTAAATTTTCTAAAGATTATACAGTTCACACTGAATCTCTGCAGTCTGATTCAGATCACTGATAATATAGTAATAAAGCTTTAAAATATCTGTGACTTAGTAGAAGTTTTTATAATAAGTACTAAATAAGATTAAGAAGATTGAGTTAATATTTATTAAGATTTTACTAAGTAATATAAGATAGAAGATCTGATATAATTAAATCTTAAGAATATATAAATTATATACTCATCTTATATACTGAATCACTGTTATACTAAGTATAAAGTAATAGAAGTTCTAGACAGTTATAACTACTATCTTAATATATTATCAGAAATTTATAACATCTTTTATATAAGCTTACTTTATTATACTATCACTGATTCATTTCTCTCTTAACTGAGTTTTAACTGTCAGCTATCAGAGATCATAGAAGAGAATAATAAACTTAAATAAAAAATTAAAGATATTCTTAATAAGAGATCTCACAGTTGTAACTAATAATATTTTATAAAATAAGTTAGTTATAATTATCTGATCTGAACTCTAAGCTCTGTATTATTTAAAATAGCAGCTCTTAACTAATAAGAACTATATATCTGTGACTTTATATTACTTCTGAAAAGAGAGAGTTAATATAACAGACTGTACTTAATCAATTATATAGACTATTTCATTATACTTCATAGATTCTACTGAAAGCTCTGATTCTCAGTTATTAATTCTCAGTTGAAAAATTCATAGAATTTTTATTCTTTCACTCTGAAGCTTTATTACATATATCATGATATATTTATAAATATTCACTTTAATTACTGATTTCTGTACTTTCTCTTTTTTTCTTCTAATGTTTTTCACTTTTATATTATAAGACTTATATATTATACCTGATCTATTCAGTGTAAATCTCTTACATATACATATTAAAGAATAAATTAATTATATTCTTATTCTCAGATAGAATATCTATTATCTTTGATTATTTTTTTTTTCTTTTTTTCACACAGTGAAATCTGAATATGTGTTTATATATAACTTATAAAAAGTACTTGATAATATTATTAATAATTAATATAGTTAGTTAACCTTTGTTTAATTAAGTAAAATTGTTCATTATTAATAGCTAAAATTTATTACAGTATAATCCCTTCTTTTTCCTTTCTTAGCAAGAGTTTGCTGTAGGTCAATCTGTGAAGAGTATGCCGCCGTGTGAAATGATGAGTCTAGGCAGGTTTTAGCGTGGTTATGTTGAGAAGATAAGAAGATGAGAAAAAGAGAAAAAAAGCGTGAATAGAGTGAGAAGGGATCGACGGGGGCTGAGGGGCTGGACCGGACTGAAACCCGATGAACAATAGTAATAATGAGGGAAGGAATCTTCGTTTAAGAATATCCATGGCGGCTGTTGATTGGTTGGTTGGTTTTGGTTTGTTTTTGGTTTGAGAGATGGTTAGCGTGAGGCTGGTTCAATTGAGTTGTGGCTGAGAATATGTGGCTGGTGTGTTCTAGCCAGGTAATATCCATACATGTACGGAGTAACTCCGTATAGTTATATAGTTACGACCTTTTTGGATGGAAATACATCACAGAGGATCAAGAACAAATCACCTGCCCAACTAGTAACAATGCATGATATATTCACATATACTGTAAATGCTCCGTACACATGTACAGATTTAAACATATACATACATAGCCATCAGGGAAGCATACCTAAGTAGATACAATCTGTGTGTCTCTGATTCCACATCCGTGGACGGACAGACATACATATATGCTGTACATGTCCCGTGGGTAGGACAGACAGGCAGTACAAAACGTAAGAATATGAATGTCACTTGTCTCATCCAACCCGAGCCAATCGACTGCTGCTGGCTATTGCCGTAGTAGCCGGGCTGAGGACGGCTTCATTCAATTCCTCAATTCTCCTAGGAAGACTATGTTGCCGTCCTTTTTCTACCCCTGGCCTGGCCTGTGCTGCTTCCTTTCAAAGGAACCTAGCAAGAACTGCTCTGAGAGGAGTTCTGGGATAAGGCCTTCTTTGTGACCCAGGTTTCGGGGTGGATCGAGACTCTTTTTTTTTTTTTTTTTTTTTTAATATTTTATATTTTATATTTTTTTTTAATTCTTTAATTCTTTTTTGGCTCTCTTCATTTTTTGAGGTTCCTGAAGAGAGATGAAGGGAGAGCACGTCGCTCAGGAATACGTACTTAGGGATTTACTTAGACGGATATTAGACAGACGATAGGATACCGGAGAAATGAAATGCGGTAGGTGGCAAGAAAGTTGTCGTATGCGCGGGCGCGATATATCTAGACCAAGGTTGGTACGTGACGTACGTGTATGCGTGGGTAGGGTAGGTAGGTAGGTTATTGGTATAGGTACGCTACGAAGTCCACCACCACCAGAGGGATGAGGATATGTGCCCAACGTAGAAACAGCGCGAGAAGTGAGCCTTTATACGAAATAGGGAGATATCCTCCAAACTCTTCATAGATATATTTACAGCGTACATACGCAGCGTAAGTAGGCAGAAAGTGGCAGTATCAGGATCTCTACGCTGCGAACAGAGTACGGAGTAGTTAGTTGGATGCTAGCCGCGCAGTCAGGGTCAACCTGGCCAATCAGAGCAGGCAACGCTCGCTTATCCACCTAATCTACAACCAGTCTTTAAAAAAATTAAAAAACAAAAATTGAAAAAATTGAAAAATCACAGCGAAAGCTGACGACGCCTGCCAAGCCTTTTTGCTGCCAATTCGTGCCAAGCCGACCAGCAGGAGGGAGGGGCTAGGCCCGAAGTAGCTAGCGTAGAGTGGCAGATTCGTCACTGCCCGCGCCAATTACGACGCCCGTACGGGGCAATACGCTGCTCAATACGCCTCTCCTTACCTTACCAGGTGTTGAATGTTGTGCGTAGGTACCAGTTGGTGTGCTGTTGCTGTATCTCGGACAGGACAGGAGCTTGACATACTATTATTATTTGGGATGCTTTTGAACCTTAAGCTAGGTTGTTTGTCTTTACGGTCCGTAGTTGCTGCTGGCATAGGTCATGTGGTGTATTATTATACTATATGTACTGTAATTGGATTGTATGAGGCGTGCCACACCCACCACCGGTCGACGCCAGGCATACGCGTTAAGGGTCTGTAATAACAACTGTAATCGCAATACAGTGTTTCTGTCTTGTCTGTCTGTCTGCATCATCCTCACCTCCTCCTCCTCCCTTTCTTCTTCTTCTCTCGCTTTCTCCTTCTCCTCCTCCTCCTCCTCCTCCTCCTCATCGTTGTCGTCGTCGTCGTCGTCGTCGTCGTCGTCTCCCTCCTCTTCTCTTTCTTCTCTCCGATTCTCTTCTCCTTCACATCTCTCCTCTATCTCCATCCTCATCTTCCAATCTTCTCTTCTTATTTCTCTCTACCCCATACCTGTTTACACCTATATATTCGATACCTCTTCTCTGTCCCGTGTTGTGCCGCTTTTCTCGTCCAGCGACCTGCCTCCGCCAAGACGACAACTCGGCTGTGCTATCCTGGTTGCTGCTGTCTGTCTCCTTAGCAGCCAAATCCAACCAATCCATCCATTATTATTCCATCCCACTCCCACCACCATCCCCAGCGATTGCATCTTGGAACACCCAACTCCCTCTCATTCTCACTCTCACACGCCATCCATCCATCGTCTGACCGACCTCGTTATCCACCTTCAATCGCATTGACCACTTCCTTCGTCTCTCCCTCTTCCACGAGAACCACCTATATCCACCGACGACCCATCTTAAAACTGACCGACCCTTTTGCATCCATATATCTATTCCCTGGCATCGTGTAATTCGGGAGACACCTCGTCGCCCGCCCCCCTCTACTGGTGGTGCTGACAGTCACTGCGACTGACTGCCAGCCTGCTGTCTCGGCATGGCGGATCGTCCCCCTCATCG